ACACATGCGGCCCTGCCAGGGCCTCCCACTGGGCCGAGGGCAGGGCCCCCTTGGACATCTGTGCCACGGGAAGCAGTCTGACCATGTCCTGGGCCTGGCCGCCACCGTCCTCCCACAGCACCTGCAGGCCGCTGCAAGGACTCCACCTTCTCATGTTTTCCCGCCCTGTTCCATCCGCAGAGGCCATTAACTGCCTGATGAGAGCCATTGAGATCTACACAGACATGGTGAGTCCCAGCTGTACCCCCCCCCCCCAGCCAGACACAGGTGGAGAAGGGCCGGGCCAGCCCGGGGGACGTGGTCATCTGGGCACAGATTGGCTGCAACCTCTACCTGGTGCTGAGAGCGGGAGTGACCAGCATTTTCCCCTCCCTGCTGCCCAGCCCTCACTCTCACCCTCTTCATGCCCCCTCTGCCACCCCCGTGCTGTGCTGGGCAGGGTGGGGCCACAGCCCTCACCGTGGCGACAGCAGCGACCACGGCCCTGTCCCCAACACAGCACTGCTGAGTGGCCTCTGTCCCACACGGCGCCCTGCGACGTCGAGGCTGAGACCCAGAGCTTCATTCTACAGCCTGTCCTCAGCAGGGCGCCAGCAGGGCCCTGGACGCTGGACGGAGGCCAGTGAACAAGTGCCCTGCCCAGCCTTGGGCGTGCCCTGTGCTGGCCTGGGGCTGGAGTGTTGGTGGCCTCAGATGCGTCTTTCTGTGTCACCCCAGGGCCGGTTCACGATCGCAGCCAAGCACCACATCTCCATTGCTGAGATCTACGAGACCGAGCTGGTGGACATTGAGAAGGTATGCGCGCACTGGAGGCCCTGCCTGGGTTGGCGGCTGGGCCCTGGGCCTCACTGACCTTCCCCACACCCTGAGCACCTGGCTGCGGGCAAAGGTGCGAGGCCTCCTGCTGCAGCCTGTGTCCCCTGGTCTTCCCAGGCCATCGCCCACTATGAGCAGTCCGCAGACTACTACAAGGGCGAGGAGTCCAACAGGTACCATCCCCCACCTGCCCGCCCCACCCCGCCCTCCGTGGCCTTGGGCCTGCCCCCTCACCACTCACTTCCCGCAGCTCTGCCAACAAGTGTCTGCTGAAGGTGGCCGGCTACGCAGCGCAGCTGGAGCAGTATCAGAAGGCCATCGACATCTATGAGCAGGTGGGAGCCGGCCTCATGCCTGCTCCATTGCTCAGCTGGCTAATGCTGTCCACCTACAGACCTATCCCACACACCCTTCACGCCCCCTCACATGTCACTTCCTGGGGAGCCCTGGGTGCCCCTCCATGGCGGGAGGCAGGAGTGTCACGCGGCTGCCCCTGCTGTGCGGGGCGGGCTGGGCTGTGGCCATGAGAAAGGCAGGCAGCTGGCCCCGGGGGAGAGGGGCGGGCGCTGCCTCATGTTCTGGAGCTGCCGCCCCCTGCCCACCGACGCACCAGTCTCCCGTGGCTGACAGCAGGGCTGCCTTCCGTGGTCTCGGGCGTTCTGCAAGGCCCACAGACACCTGGCTTCAGCACCCAGGGCCAGCCTTCCCCCGACTCCCACCAGGGATTCCAAGTTAGCTCATTCTGGGGCTCAGGCCTGTTCCCCACTGCTCCTTGGGGCCTGGCTGTGGCTGCCCTGAGCTCATGGTACCGGCTGCTTGTGGCTGCAGGTGGGGACCAATGCCATGGACAGCCCCCTCCTGAAGTACAGCGCTAAGGACTACTTCTTCAAGGCAGCTGTGTGCCACTTCTGCATCGACATGCTCAACGCCAAGGTGGGCTAGCAGCCGCAACGAGCATGCTCCTTCCTCCCCTCGTGACAGCTTGGGCACACATTCGTCCTGGTGCTGCCTACCTAGCTCACAGATTTGTGTCTCCCCTCCCTGCTGGCTCAGCACTAGGTCCTCTCCTTGTCCTTGCCCTTAACACAGCCCTCGAGGTCAGCAGCTCGGCCCTGCCCACTCGGTGTGCTCTCAGGCAGGGCACAGGGAGCCACTGGGCCCCTAGCCGCCAAGTGCCCGCAGCAGCTGCCAGGGGTGTGTGTGGCCGGCAGGGCTTGTGCTCTTGCTGGGCCAGGCCCCTATCCCCCAGCCCTGTGCCCTGAGCAGGGTCACCGGCCTTCCCCGGGGTCTCTTCCCCAGCTTACAAAATTGGGTCCCTGCCATCTGGCCCTCATTCCAGCCGTGGCCAGCAGCAGCGGGAGCCCTGGACACCTGCCTGGGAAACCCTGCCCCGCCCCTCTCCTATAGCTGGCTCTGCAGCCAGACCGGCTCCAGGCTCTTCTCACAGAGGCACTGCCGGGCACCAGGCCAGGTGGCCCCGGGGCAGGGAGAGGCCTGCAGCCAACCTAGGCCCCTACAACTGCCAGGCCATGGTCTCCAGCAGCCCCCTCCATTAACTGCCCCGCCCCGCCCTCTCCCTGCCCAGCTGGCTGTCCAGAAGTATGAGGAACTGTTCCCAGCTTTCTCAGATTCCCGGGAGTGCAAGTTGATAAAGGTGAGTGTCACGCACACTGCCCCTCGGTGCCCTGGCCAGAGGCGGGGGCCTGCAGGCGCCAGCTTGAGCGGCAGCAGCCCACTGGCTCCCTGACCCTGCCGTCTCTCACTTGCAGAAGTTGTTGGACGCCCATGAGGAGCAGAACGTGGACAGCTACACGGAGGCAGTGAGTGGCCCCTGCTTCCGGCTCACTCCCTAATGCCCCCTGCCCCCACCCCTACTGGTCTGGCAGCCACTGGCACTCCCAGAAGCCTCAGCAGCAGCCCAGGAGGGTCTCCCCATCCTCTCTGTCCACTCAGGGGCAGGTGGAGGTCCTGGGGGGTGCAGGAGGAGCACCTGGAGTGGAGGAGACCCGTGCCCCCTCACTCAGGGCAAGGACGGGGAGAGCACTTCCTCTCCCTGCCGCCTGCCCCTCCCCCGGGCTACTGCAATGTTCTGGAACTTCCACTCAGGTCCTAATATGGGCCTCTGGACGATGCCTGCCCAACCCTCCCCTCTGCGGGCAGATTCCTTGTAGGAGTGGAGGCCCCTGCACGAGGGCAGGTTTCAAGGCCACCGTGCTCTGCGTGTCCGTCCCCTCCCACCCCAGCCCATGAGGGTCAAGGCCAGCCCTTGAGTTGCTGGCGGCCTCCCCTCCCCCTCCGCTGGGGCGCGGACTGAGCCCCTCCTGTGGCTCTCGGATGGGAAGCTGGACCGTTTATAGAATCACCGTAAGTCAGGCCATAAACCAGTGTCGTAAAATCAGATCTGTCATGCCCAGGACAGCACCGACTGGGCTGCAGCCTGGCCTCCCTCGCCCCCAGAGACCGAGAGTGCCAGAGACACCCCAGGAAGCCCTGGGACTGGGGAGTGGGTCGTGGGCTGGGGGCTTTGGAAGGAGCAGGAGGGCTGCGGCTGAGCGCCCACCCCGCGGCCCCACAGGTGAAGGAGTATGACAGCATCTCGCGGCTGGACCAGTGGCTGACCACCATGCTGCTCCGCGTCAAGAAAACCATCCAGGGTGACGAGGAGGACCTCCGCTAAGCTTCCTGGCCCTCCAGGACCGCCCTGCCCCAGGGGCACGGGCCAGATGGACACTCACCCTCCGTTCTCGCTGCACCCCTCGCCCTCCGCCCCTGTATTTAAGCCCCCAGAGGCGCCAGCTGTACACAACCTTGGATTCGGACCTCTCTGCTCTGGGTGTTGCTTTGGGCCGGGGCGGGCAGCCGTGCCCCGAGCAGCCGGGTCCCCAGGCTGGGTTCTGTGTCTGCCGTGCCCCTGGCAGAGCTCTGAGCACATGTGGCCTGAGCCTGCCCTCCTCATAGGGTAGGTTCCTCCCCACCCCTACCCCTGCTTCCTGCAGCCCAACCTCTCAGGTTAGACCCCAGGCCCTGGAGCCCCCGGGGTTACCCCAGCCCCCGCTCCTACCCTAGCGCTTTGAGGTTTTGTCGGCCAGAAGCAACAACTGGCCCAAGAAAGAAAATAAAAAACACAACTTTTGCATGAGTCTCTTCCTCCTCACCTCTGCTGCGTACAGGGTCCTGCCCTGCCAGCCCAGGGGCCTCTGGGACAAGTAGGGCACACCTGCTCCAGCTGAGCTTGGCCTGGGGTGAGGCTGCAGGTCTCGGCCCCACCTCCCCTGGGAGGAGAGAGCTGCTGAAGCCACCTGGCACAGCTGGCAGAGCACGTCACTGGATGGCCAGTCCTGGCCCCATAGCCAATGGGCAGGGCAGGAGGCAGTAGTCCCCTGTCACAGGGGAGGGGAACAGAGAGGCGTTCCCAGGAGCCCTCTGCCTCTGGTCCAGGGCTGTGTGCCAGGTCCCCACTTGGGGAAGGGATGGGAGGTTGGCCTGGAAGTGGCCAAAGGCATGCACCATGCAGGGGGAGCAGGGAGATGGGCCAGCCCCCTCCCCAGCCAGCAGACCTGGAAGCCATCCAGGCAAGGTTCACAGACCCAGGAGCTGGGACCTGCCAGGACTGAGGACCGACTGCCAGCGTCTGCCCTGGGCACTCCGAGGGACCTATGTCCACTCTGTCAGCCGGGAGTCCCAGGCACCACTGCCTGTCGGGGGCTATTGACCCTGCCCCATCCTCTGAAGTTCCTGCTTCGCCAGCCTGAAATGTGCACTTGGCACAGGCACCTAGCCCCCACTTGCTGCAGCCCCGTCCCGTGTCCGCGCGTGCCCATCTGCACAGCGAGCCTGCTAATGGGGTGGACGGGGGCCTGGCTCAGCACCACCGCAGGTTTTGAACAAACTGGTACTCGGAACCCCTTTAAGAGTGATTCCATACAAGTAAAGGCAGTGTTCTTGCTGTTTCTTATTCTGCGTCCCACGAAGCCTACGGCTGGGGGCCACGAGCGACCATGTCCCACCTCGAGTCCCAAACCTTGCTTAAGGCTGAAATGGACCCAGAGAGACTACGCAGGCGCAGCAGTGCTGCCGCCATGTCAGTAAAGGGCAGCGACGGTCGCTTCCGCGCGTCATCAGTGCGCGACGGGCAGGCAGCCGGCGGCTCAGGTGGCTCCGAGCCTGGGGGTGCGGGCTGAGGGGCGTGATGGGCGAAGCGGTCGTGGCCGCGGGGCCTTGCCCACTGCGCGAGGACAGCTTCACGCGCTTCTCGTCGCAGAGCAATGTGTACGGACTGGCAGGCGGCGCCGGGGGCCGCGGGGAGCTGCTGGCCGCCACCCTTAAAGGCAAAGTGCTCGGCTTCCGCTACCAAGACCTCCGACAGAAAATCCGGCCGGTGGCCAAGGAGCTGCAGTTCAACTACATCCCCGGTGCGTGGCGCTCTGCAGCTGGGGGGGCGGGCGGCGTGCTGACCAGGGGTCAGGGTCCTCGGGGGCAGAGCTCAGGGACCACAGGGGTCTGACAGTGGGTAGGGCGCAGGATGCCCCAGGAGGTCAGAGGCGACCCGTGGGTCACACTTGGGGCCTCAGGGTTCCCCGAGGTGTGATGTTTGAACTGTCCGTTCCCAGTGGATGCCGAGATCGTCTCCATTGACACCTTCAACAAGTCACCCCCAAAAAGGGGCCTGGTGGTGGGCATCACCTTCATCAAGGTACCCGGACGCCACCCTCCTTTCGCCTGGGGGGGTGTCTCCCAGACTGCTGCCCCTCCCTGCCCCCTCAGGCTGCATCTCCCCGTAGGATTCAGGGGACAAGGGCAGCCCCTTTCTTAACATCTACTGCGACTACGAGCCGGGCTCTGAGTACAACCTCGACTCCATCGCCCGTGAGTGTGGCTTGGGGTGCGGGAGGGCTGGGCGTGGGGGGGTCTCCTGGCACATGCCCCGTGCCCACATGCCTGTGTGCCCTACAGAGAGCTGTCTGAACCTGGAGCTGCAGTTCACTCCCTTCCAGCTGTGCCACGCTGAGTGAGTGGACCCTGGGCACCCGCACCTCCTCCCCCAGCCGCAGCACGGGAGACCTGGCTTCTGGTACCCGCCCCCCCTTGCATCAGAGCCTGCTGCTCCTACAGGAACTGAGGAGACCAGGAGCTTTCTTTGGGATTTCCCATGCGAGTGCAGGGTCCTTGCCACGCTCCGCTGCTTTCCCGGGCCATAAGCAGGGAGTTCGATTGGAAGTGGAACAGCCGGGACTTGAACAGGCACTTGTGTGGAGTGTTGGCCAGTCAGATGGCAGGCTAACATGCTACACCCCAACACTGGCGCAGAGTATCACATCCCTTAGCTAGGGGCCACGGCCAGAAGACAGGTCCTGCATGGCTGACAAGGGCCACTCATTTGAGCCCTTGTCCCAAGCACCATTGGTCACAGACCTCAGGCAGACCCGAAGAATTCTGTGGTTGTGATGTTCTGTATGCCACCAGCCCCATGGCCAGAGACACCTTGCTTCCTGGAGTCCGGGAGCCTCGGGAATTGCTTCAGGTCCTCAGAGGCCAGGGTCCTCAGTGTGTCTGCTCCACTTGGGGGTGCCCAGGGTCCAGCACGGGGCCGCCTATGAGAGTCTGAAGGCCACAGCCTCTGTCCAGACTGCCCGGGGGTGCCAGCGGTCAGTGTGGCCCCATGCCACTAGCACTTTGCTCAGAACGGGCAGTGACTGGGGGCTGGTGTGCAGATCCTGGAGGGCCAGCCTCTGCTCTTGCAGGAGTTCTTGAAACAAAAGCTTCTAGCATGCTTTGCTGTTCTGGATGCATGTGCACACCCACCCATTCCCAAAGAGACAGGAAGCAGACCTCAAAGGTCCCGGCGCTGCTGGCGCCCTGGGAGCTGCAGAAGGAAGGTTCCAGCAAGCGCCCCGGATGGGAGGCCACGGTAGTCCCCAGCCTGGGAAGCAGGGCTTGACCTTCATTTGTGCACCTGCCCCCAGCAGCTGCTCCCCTGGCCCTGGGGGTTTGGGAGACCCAGAATCCTCCTGCCCCAGGGGTCCCTGCCTCCACAGCGCTCAGCCGCCCTGAGCTTCCAGGTGTCTCTGCCTGCAGGGTTCAAGTCGGGGATCAGCTGGAGACCGTGTTTCTCTTAAGTGGAAACGACCCGGCCATTCATCTGTACAAGGAGGTGAGGCGGATGGGCCTGGCTGTGGAGTGGGTGTGGCCATTGGTGGGTGTGGCCATTGTGGGCATGGCTGTGATGTGGGTGTGGCCATGGAGTGGTGGGCGTGGTTGAGACGTGGGTGGGGTTGCTGTGGGCGTGGCCGTGGAATGGGCAGGTGGCAGGGTTGTGAGTGAGTGTGGTGTCAGTGGGTGTGGCCATGGAGTGGGTGGGCGTGGTTTGAGAGGTGGGTGGGTTGCTGTGGGCGTGGCTGTGATGCGGGTGGGCGTGGCTGTGGAGCTGGCAGGTTGTGGTGTGGGTGGGGCCGCAGGTGTGGCCCTCGGTGCACTGACCCCCTCGGTTACCCCAGAACGAGGGGCTGCACCAGTTTGAGGAGCAGCCTGTGGAGAACCTCTTCCCCGAGCTCACGGACCTGACGAGCAGGTAGACACCAGGGGGGGTGCGAGTGGGCTGGGGTGGGGAGTAGACACCAGGGGGGGTGCGAGTGGGCTGGGGTGGGGAGTAGACACCAGGGGGGGTGCGAGTGGGCTGGGGTGGGGAGTAGACACCAGGGGGGGTGCGAGTGGGCTGGGGTGGGGAGTAGACACCAGGGGGGGTGCGAGTGGGCTGGGGTGGGGAGTAGACACCAGGCGGGGGTGCGAGTGGGCTGGGGTGGGGAGTAGACACCAGGGGGGGTGCGAGTAGGGCTGGGGTAGGGAGTAGACACCAGGGGGGGACGCGAGTAGGGCTGGGGTGGGGAGTAGACACCAGGGGGGGACGCGAGTAGGGCTGGGGTGGGGAGTAGACACGGGGGGGGGGGTGCGAGTAGGGCTGGGGTGGGGAGTAGACACCGGGGGGGGGGTGCGAGTAGACACCAGGCGGGGGCACAGCAGGCTGCGAGGTCCTGGGGCTGCTGTTGGGGAGAGGGGTTGGAACGTAGATGCCAACCGGCCTGCCCCTCCCCGCCCGCCTGCCTGCTCTCTCCTAAACCAGCGTCCTGTGGCTTGATGTACGCAACCTGCCTGGCACCTCGCGGCGCCTCTCGGCCCTCGGCTGCCAGAGCGGCTATGTCCGCGTGGCCCACGTGGACCAGCAGAGCCGAGGTGGGGGGCTGGGCCGCGGGGGGCTGGGGGAAGATGGATGGGGAGGAGGCGGGGGAGGACCCGAGTGCCTGCCTTCCACGCAGAGGTCCTGCAGGCGTGGACAGTGCTGCAGGACGGCCCCGTGTCCCGAGTGATCCTGTTCAGCCTCTCGCCGGGCCCTGATGGTGAGCTCCGTGCGGCCTGCAGCCCGTCCTGTCTCCTGTGTCCCCGGGACCTGGCTTCCGGTCCTGCCTCTAACCCTGCCTGTGGCAGCAGCAGCTCACGGCTTCCTCTCTGGCTCGCTGCAGGCGCGTGAGGAGGGGCCTGTCCCTCCCCCCACCGTCCCTCCCCCTTGCCCACTCCCCTTCCTCCCCATCCAGAGCCCGGGGAGTGGCCCCAGCAGGAGGAGCACAGCGTGTTGGTGGCCAGCATGCTGGAGCCCGCCGTGGTGTACCGGTGAGAGGGCGAGGTGGGGCTGGCGGGCGCCCTGGGCTGTGGTTGGAGCTAGGCAGCCAGGGCTGGTCTGTGCCTGGTGAGTTGAGGTTTCCATCTTCCCGGACTGACCCACGCAGTCGTCAGCTGTGTGGGAAATGATGGCGCCTCCTCCAGGGAGCAGCACAAGGCATCGGGATGGCAGAGTGGGGCGGGGGGAGACACAGCCAGAAGGGGCTGCACCACTCCAGAGAGCCTGTCCCCACCGCGCCCCACCCTGCAGGGACCTGCTCCGCCAGGGTCTCGAGGACCAGCTGCTCCTGCCAGGCAGTGACCGGTTTGACAGCATCCTTTGCGGCCTGGTCACCGACGTGGACTTGGACGGACAACCCGAAGTCCTAGTGGCCACCTACGGACAGGTGGGCCTTGAACAACACCCGCCCCCCACCCCCGCATACCTGTGCTGCCTGTGTGACCATGCCTGGCCCCCTGCAGGAGCTGCTCTGTTACAAGCACCGGGGCCCCGAGTCAGGGCTCCCCAAGGCTGAGCAGGGCTTCCACCTGCTGTGGCAACGGAGTTTCTCCAGCCCCCTGCTGGCCATGGCGCACGTGGACCTGACAGGGGACGGGCTGCGGGAGCTGGCTGTGGTCTCCCTGAAGGGGGTGCACATCCTGCAGGTACCCAGGGCTCCCCAACAGTAGTCCCCAAGGGGGCGGGGGAGAGGGGAGGTGTGGGGAGAAGCCAGGCTGGGAGCTGGGTGGACATGGGATCGGACTCCAGCCCTGCCCAGGCGAGGGGGCCTGGCTGCCAATCAACCCCCTACCCTGCCGCCCTGGGGGAGGCGTGACCAGTCCCTGATGGCCAGGTGGGCTCCCGAGAGTGGGGACTGCTGAGAGCGCCTGCAGACACCACCACAGGGACCCCAGATGTGGCACTGGTCCCACGCCCACCCCACCCCAGAACCTGACTCTCCTTCCCTGGAGCCCCACCCCCCCACGTGATCCATGGCTTGCTGCAGCACCCCCTGCCCCTTGCCTTGAGGCTGTGGCTGCACCTGCACTGGCTCTCCCTCCCTTAGCCTGCAGTGTGGCCCAGCCCCCTTCTGCAGCCGGCTTCCTATGTCCTGCTGCCATCATACCTGGCACCCTCTCCCTTGATTCAAGCTCTTTGCTGAGCTCTGAGCTCGGGTCCGGCCTTGCCCCCCTAGCCCTCCCTTGGAGGCCTCACCCCCATGACCTCAAGGGAAACCAGGAAGGCAGAACCCCAGGGGGCGGGGTCTGAGGTCGAGCCGCAGTGAACAGGACAGGACCGAGGTTAGAGCCAGTGGGAGGTCTGAGGTTAGACCGTGGCGGAAGGTGCCAGCAAGCCTGGACCTCGGGAGGAGAGTGTGGGCCAAGCTAGGAGGAAGCATTCCCCTTGTACTGTGTCCTCGCCTCACACCATCCCTCGTCGTGGTCTGCTTCCACCGTGGCCTCTGCCGTTCCTTCTCTGCAGGTCCCACTGGGGTTCAGCTCTGCCCCATGCGTGGCAACAGACCCATCACTCACACTTCTCTGTGGGGACCTGCTCTTGCGGGGTCCCCCTCACCTCTGTCTGCCCCCTCCCCCTGCCTGGGATCATGCCCACACATCCATCCCTCCCCACAAGCTGAGCCTCACCCCCGTTCCCTACACTTGACTGCAGGCCCTGTCTGTCCCTCCTGTGGTCTAGCCTGTATCCGGGACCCCTTCCTCTCCCACGACCTCCCGTGCCCTGCTCGCTGACAGCCCTGTGCGAGCACAATCTACCCAACAGGCCTCAGCTCTCCCTCCGCTCTCTCACAGCACAGCCTGATCCAGGCCTCGGAGCTGGTCCTCGCACGACTGCGGCGTCGAGTGGAGCAGAGGAGACGTGGGTCGCAAGGCTCGGAGGACAGGCCGGGTCCAGGGCCTGCTGAGTCCCCAGCCTCCTGATCAGCCCGCCCCTGCCCTTCGCTCCCCAGGCCTGGGGCAGGTCTCCCAGTCCTTGCCGTGATTGGAGAAGATAGAGGGACACTGCCCCTGTGTGTCCTGACAAAACGCCCTGCCCCTCCCTCTGCATTTGCCCACCCGTGAGGAGTGAGGCTGTCACGGGGACCGTCATCCTGTGGCAGGCATCTGCTGGACACCTGCTGTGTGCCTGGCTCTGGGCTGGAGGAGAGACTCATCTAGGAATCCACGGGAGGCGTGGGGGCTGAGAGGAGGCAGGGGGAATCGGGGGCCAGGCCGGATGGGAGTGGGGCTGAGCTCTGATCCCAGCACTGTGAACCACCTGGGAGGATTAGGAACAAGGTCAGATCACAGGCAACAGGCTACAGTTGGAGCACGTAGGGCAGACTCCAAAATGGAAAGGCGCTGTCTGAAGTTGGACTCCTGGGGCAGGCCTGGGTTGAGGCGAGTGGTGAGCTGAGAGGGGACCCATCCTAGGAGAGAAATGACAGGCCCAAATGCAGCCCCCTTGGGAGTTCAGACCCAGAGAGGCTGTGGGTTGGGAAGGGCCACTGTGCAGAAGCAGTGGGGAGTGTGAGGCTAGACCCTGCATCAGCAATGCCCAGGTTAGACCCCAGCAGAAAAGGCTGCCTTAAATCCTGTGAGGCCACGCCCAGGCCGAGGAGCCGAAGCCGTCACTGGCTGCAAGCACCTAGGGTCTGCCACCCCCGCGTTTGCCACCCCCTTGTGAGGCACTGGAGGAGCTGCCGCTCGCCCTGCTGCCTGCTACCCGCTTTGATGCCCACGGAGCTGCAGCCTGGGGCCACTGTCACCCTGGCCAACTATCCTCCGCCCCCTGCCACCACCAGCACCCCCAGAACCATCAGCGGAAGTTGGAGGGGCTTGGGGAGAGAGGAGCCCAGGGTTTCTTGGCCACCAGTCTCCCTCCTGTCCCCAGAAACCAGGCACAGGCGTGGGAGGCTAGAGGGAGCTGGATCCTCTCCCCGTCCTGGCAGCAGGCCCCGAGGGCAGCCAGCCAGGGCTGGCAGTGGGCACGAGCAAGGTCTCTTCCGACCTGCCGCCCCCACCTGCAGGGTTGGGGGAGGGGCCGCCGGGCTCTGGGAGGGGTGCACATATCGGTCTGCTTTGGGGGTCCTAGGCGTGCCTTCAGGGGCCTGGACCACCTGCCTGCACTTGCCGTTCTTGCCAGACCTCAGCATGGACGCGTGGAGTGGAGCGGGGTTAAGGCTGGAGATCTTGTGACAGCACCTGACCCATCCCCTCCACCCCATGCCTCTGTTTATCCCCCTGGAAAATGGGACTAATTGCAGCCTTTTCCCCACCCAGCGGCACTGGCATGAGGCTCAACGGTGTCAACATGTGTCAGGCATTTATACATTAAAGAAAACAAAATGTTGTGACAGTGACTGCCACGTGGCAGGCGCCGTCTGAATGGCAGCTCTTATTACTGTTATTAATGGGTGCCTTTGTGGTTATTGCCCGGCCCTGGCAGGTTGCTCGTGCCAGCATAGCGTGTGAACGTGGATCTGGCTCTGCCTCGGGTCGGACACTCTTGCCCTCCCTCCATCCCTCCCTCCCCTGCCAGCCCCGGGGAGCCCGGCACTATTTGTGGCTGTGTGGCTCGGCTGGCCCTTGTATGGTTTGGACAGCCGCGTGCCTGGGGACCAGGGGACCCGGGGGTGCCGGGGAGACGCGCGCGTGCACCCGCGCGCCCCCGCCGCTGTCCCCGGCCCCTGGTGCTGAACCCGGAGCCCGGGTCGGAGCTCGGCGCGCCCGCCGCCCCCGCCGGCACCGCCCGCGCACCGCCTCCCGCGCGGCTCCGCCCGCTCCCCGCCCCCTCCTCCTCCCTCGCCGACCCCCTCCCCGGGGCCCTCCTCCTCCCGCCCTCCTCCCTCGCTCCCCTCTCCCTCCCCTGCTCCCGGCGCTCCTCCTCGCAGTCTCCGGCTCCCCTCGCTCCCAGTCTCTCCCTCCTCGGGCGCTGCCTGCTCGGGGCTGGGGGAGGGAACGAGCTGCAGGCTGCAGCCGCAGGTAGGAGACCCTCCCAGCGTGGGGAGGGGGCGGTGGGGAGAGGGTAGGGGGTGGGCTTTGGAGGGGCAGGAAGCCGTTTTCCCCTAGGCTCGGGTTGGAAGGGAGGAGGAGGTGGCGGGGATCTGCCCAGTCCCGGGCGCGGGTGCCAGGGCCCTCCTGTGGGCGGGGGCGCCTTGAGCCCGGGCGGCCCGGGGCTGCCTCCCTGCGCGGCACCGAGGGGGGGACACCCCGCCCCCACCCGCCTCCAAGCTCGCCGCCTCCGCCCCCGCCCCTCTGTGTCCGGTGCTGGTCTCTGTCCAGCCCCTGCCCCTGGGTCCCGGGCTCTTCCCCGGCCGACTGTGGCTCTCCAGTGACCAGCGATGGGCTCCGATGGCAGGGCATCCTGACTCCCAAGTCCCTGGGCTTGCGCCATCGCTGCCCCTCCAGCTCCCTGTGATGAGTCTGTGCCTGACCACTCGCGGCTCTGCCTCTGGTTTCCGGGTGGGGGGTCCCTGTTTCTGCACCCGCTCCCCGGGAGCCTCTGAGCTCTCCTCCCACGCACACCTGCAGGCCTCCCTCCCCGAGTGCGCGCCCACCCCGCTTCCCCAGCAGGCCTGGTGTCCAAACTCTGTTCCAGCGGAAGTGTAGCCGTCCCCTCTCTGCCTGGAGCCCAGGGACCTCTCTTCTCCCCTGCAGTGGGTTGGCTCTGGAAGGCCAGTCCTGCTTGCAGTCTGACTGTAGTGGAATTGGACCGGTCCATCCTACAGTCTGACTTCCACGCGTGTAGTCCTAGCCTCATTCATTCTTCTTGACAGTTACCTAAGCACCGCCCCTAGCCCAGGGGTCAGGCCTGACCAGTCCATCTCATGGCGGGAATGCCTTACCCCTGCCCCCTCCACCCCTCGTACTGGGGTAGAATCTAGGAGCTTCCTCTTGGAGCCACCAGGGCAGGGAGTGGCAAGGGGGGCTGTGCCCAGTGGCCGTTAGTGTGTCCACACCCAAGGTCCCGCCCTGCACGGCTGTGCCCGTGTGTGGCTCCAGAGGTCTTAGAGAGAAGGGGTTAGGAGTCCCATGCCTGATTAACCAGCTCTGTGCTGACCCTGGCTTCCATGACATAACCCCCTCTCTGGGCCTCAGTTTACCCACTTGCACATCGCAACCTGGAACAGGGAGCCGCTGTGTGTGTGCGTTTGTGAGCATGTGTATGTGTGTGGTAGTGGAGCCTGGGTCCGGTTCACACCAGGGCAATGTGTGTGGCTTGGAGTCCCCTCTGGGAGGGGTGGCCGTCCACACCGCACCCTGCCTTCCCCCACCCCACCCTCAGTCACCTGGGGCATGCGGTTGAAGGATGACATGGTGGGGGGAAGTACTGGAGTTTGTATGGAGCCTTCAGATGGGGACATCCAGGCCCCCAGAGGCGTGAGCCAGAAGTGGGAAGCTCAGGGCTGACCCAGCTGGACGCCGGCCCACCAGGCCCACCAGGGTACGGGGAGATGGTCCCAGGAGATGTGACCACCTCACCGGGAGCTCGCCTTCTGCCCTCCCAGCAGCTTCCACCAACACTGAACCTGATCCCCCCACCCCTGGCTCAGAACCCAGATTAGGTTTCCGGCTGCGGGGGGTGGGGTGGGGAGTGGAGCACAGCTGCCCCAGCGACAGGACCCAGACCTCTGTCTTCCATTGCACAAATATTTATCCACTGCTCTTCCAAGCCTCCCCTGCTCTCAGGCGAAGGCGCTGAGCTGGGTCAGAAGAGCCCCCCCCAACCCACCCACCCCAGAGAGCTCTGCTGCGGGAGGGGGCTGGCCTCCGGCTGCCTGCCCCCACCCTGGGTGACTTCCAAGTGGCCCCTGCTTCTACTGAAGCCTGGCGGGAACCGGGGCATCCTGGTGGGTTCATAATTATGCCTGAGTCTTTGCTAATTAGGAGGTTGCTAATTAGATGTGTCAACCCAAGTGGGGCTAATGGTGTGGTGGCCCTTTAAGAATCACCCCGCTCGCCCTCCTGTCCCACCCCCCCACTGTGTGCTTGCACACACACTCACACACACCAGCACACACACATGCTGCACTCCTTGTGAAAGCTCCTGCCAGCATCCTGCCAGCCTTCCCGGGAAAGAGCCGGCTCCCAGCCGTGGGTGTGAGCGGGGGCAGGCTGTGGGTGAGACTCCGGGGAGAACTAACTTGGCAGACAGAAGTGGAAGTTGGAGAGGGGCCTGGCGAGGTGAGGGCAGGTCAGGGGCTCCTACGGATGACAGAAGCAGGAAGCCACACACACCCAGCTGGGGACTGGGTGCCTCTGGGCTCACCCAGCCTTGACGTTCTCATCTGGAAAATGGGTGGAGGTGAGGCCGTCTTGGGTGCTGTGGTCAGAGGAGGTGACCTGATAATGATGTGGTGGGAGAGTGGCTGGTGCAAAGGCCCTGAGGCTGAAAGGAAGGAGGAGGCCAACATGGCTGGAGCAGACCAGATGAGGCCAGAGAGGGACGGGGGGCCTGATTGGGCAGGGGTGCTGTGGCCGGTGCGGGGAGGATTCCAAGGAGAGGATGTGAGCTGAAAGCAGAGGCAGGACACCACAGTAGCCGCTTGCTGAGGCCCACGACCCGGAGAAGGGCAAGGACACAGTAAGAGCCCACGAAAGGAACAGAGAATCCAGCCCTGGGTGTCGCATGTCACAGCTGCTGCGGCAACTGGGACCCCAGGGATGCTGACGTTGGCCCCTGCTGCATGGCGGCAAGGGGGATGCAAGTGAGAATCTTTCCCAGAGCCCCGAGGCTCCTGCCTGGCCCTGCACGGGCAGAGCCCTAGGAGGGCCGAAGTGGGGGTCAGTGAGTCCCTGCCCTGTGCCCTGCTTCTTGCACTTGCCACTCCCCTCCCACCATGGGATCCCCCCCGTGCTGTTGGGTGCAGCTTTTCTCAGTGCTGTAGAGTACTCCACACTACACAAGGGAGGGGCTCAGCCTGCACCAAGCCTGGAATTTTGGCTTCCCTCACGTACAACTCCTCCCCTTTTCCCCTTTCCACAGGGCCCCACTGCCCCCCATGGCTCTCCTGGCCTTGGTGGGGGT